GCTTCAAGAAACCTACCTGCAAAGCTACAGAACTGTTCAAAGTTTTAGGCACTTGTGTAAAAATGCTGTAAAATGAAGATGCTGTCAAAAATAATGTCATAAATAGATTTTCTTTATCAATTAACTTCAATCAACTAAATCAAATCAACATTTGGCGTGAGCGTCCTTTGCGTGTAAAGCAGCTTTTGCCCTCTACAAGCATCTCGGAGACGTTGTTCTCCACAGTTCTTCTGGACTGAGTCTGTCTCAGTTTGTTCTGTTTCTTCATGTCACTCCAGATCAGATCAGATCTCTGTGTGGAGCAAACAAAAATCTCACTGCATTATTACAATTAATGGCTAAATGAATGTTTGGAAATGTAAACTGATATTTCCTACTGACACACTACAGCAAAAGATAGAAATAACTGACTTTAAAACCATTTTTAGCTGGTGCAAATACTAGTGTTCTAATCATTTTGGCCACCGCTGTAATATTCCTTTTAAAAATTAAACTAAATTAATCCATTTTTTTTAAGTTCATTGCAAATGAACTGCATGAGGCTGCTTGATTAATTGGAATAAAACGATTATAGGGCAATTACCAAATTGCAGAAGCTGAGTTTTTATTAAATACATTTTTATGCTGTGTGTTTCAGAGTTACTGTGTTCTTTTACACGTTTACAGCTCATAGTGTTCAAAATTGAAAATGAAAAAATTAAGAAGAAATTAGGCTCATTTGAAAACAAAGAAATTATAGTATATTAGTATTGTAATTTTACTGTAAAATAAAATAATAATAATAATAATTATTATTATTATATTATTATTTTTGTATTATTATATTATACTATATATTTCATTTTACTGTGAAATATTACAATAGCAATATTTTTACTTTAATATTTTTTATTTTAATATTTTTATTTAGTAATTATAATTCATAATAACTATAATAATAATAATTATTATTATTATTATTGTTATTAATATTAATAATAATTGTTACTATTAGTAGTAGTAGTATTTATTATCATTATTATTATTGATAATGATAATATTATTATAATATGTATTATTATTAATATTATTTTCTCCTCTTTGTAAGTTACTTTGGATAAAAGCGTCTGCTAAATTTCTATTATTATTATTAATCGTTTTTTTCTTTCATTTTAATGTAGTAATTATAACAATCATTAATAACAAGAAATATTATTATATTATATTAATTTACATAATTGTTATAATGTGTAAGTTACTTTGGATAAAAGCGTCTGCTAAATGCATATACCTGTAAAATGTAAAATTTTACAGTCATATTGATATATGTTGTTTTAAACCTAATATTTTTGTCTAGTAATTATAATAATCATTAATAATTATTATTTTTATATTAAATTATTCTATTCTATTAAATTATATTACTAGCATTATTATTTCCTCTTATTATTAATAATAATGATAATTAATTAATCTCCTCTTTGTAAGTCCCTTTGGATAAAAGCGTCTACTAAAAACATAATTGTAGAATATAATTAGAATTTTAGTGTCATATCGATATGTAATCAACGTTTTGACCAACTAGTGCAGCCCTGCAAACAAGCACAGCAAACATTGTATCATTAAAACCATCCATTTTTCTTTTATGCCAAAAATCATTAGGATATTAAGTAAAGATCATGTTCCATGAAGATATTTTGTAAATTTCCTACCGTAAATATATTAAAACTTAATTTTTGATAAGTAATATGCATTGCTAAGAACTTCATTTTAAGATTTTCTAAGATTTTTTGCACCCTCAGATTCCAGATTTTCAAATATTGTCCGATCCTAACAAACCATACATCAATTGAAAGCTTATTTATTCAGCTTTCAGATGATGTATAAATCTAAAAAATTGACCCTTATGAGTGGTTTTGTGGTCCTCGGTCACACATAGATTTTCCCCAAACGGTGCAGCTCTAGTGAAGGGTGCAGGGTACAGGGTTTGGTTTATGGGGTCATGATCTGGATGCAGGTAACCAGGACCGCGGCGGCAGAGCTGTGCTGCAGGTGTGCAGCAGGAGCCAGGTGTGGACAGACGCAGCTTTCACCACAAACCAGATCAGCGAGCTGCTGTGCTACTTCTGCGGCAGACTGCGGTGAGAAAGCAGGCCACACGGAAACTCTGCAGCACACTGTGTCCGAGCGCAGGCCGTTCTCTGAGTGTCTTACGCTTGTGTTTTCAGGAGGGAGAAGCGAGGCCTGGGTTTGACGGTTCTCATCGACGCTCGCAGGCAGCCGGTCACGTCTGCGCTCTTCACAGCTCTGTCTGAGCTTCAGGTGAGACCAGACACACAACTGTCTGGAAGACAAACCTTTGAGTTTGGATTAAGGCCACAAGGAGGACCAATGTTCCTTTTATTTAAAAGACCCCAAAGATAAAGGTCTTAAGGAATTAAGTGGAAAAGAAAGAACTTTTGTTGTAAAGTTAAATCAATTTGACCAGTTTGCAAATAAGATACGAAGAGTTCATTTGCAAAAGCAGATAACTCCATTTTTAACAATTTTCAAAAATCATGTTTTTCATTGTGCATTCCAATTAATCTCAATCAGACTGCAGTTGGGTTATTTTGATTAAGTAAAAAGAACTAAAAAAAATTACAGCTAAATAACACAATAAAACACAATGAAAACATGATAACATAATAAAAAAAATTACATTACATTTAAATTACATTTAAAAGAAAATCAGTTTTTGCAAATAAACTTGTTTTTAAATAAGTTTTATATTTTAAAATATTTATCATATATAAAATATTATAATATATAATAATTATAAAAATATTTTGCAATATTGTAATTTTAATATATGCACACATTCACTCCTATATAAGCCTAATATGTTGAAAACACAAAACTGAAAAAAGCTTCTTGTCTCTTTACATTCAGTTACATCAATCGTATAAATTACAGGCTATTTTTCCAATTCAAAATAAAGAATTTTACCAAAACGTTGAGTAGTTTGCATCACTGGTTATACAGTTATTTAGTTCTTTACTATTATAGTGTTTTTTTGGTAATATTTTTAATCAGTTTTATATTTTCTATTATCATATTAATAATTTTTATTTTTATTAAAATTTAATATTTACTTGTAGTTTTTTAAAAACATCAAGTTAAACTAAATTAAAATGGGAAATGTTGCAACTTGCTGAAATAAAATGAGTTATGTTTTGTTTTATTTAAAGTCACATTTTTTTAATGGTTTTAATTTTAGTTTTAGTTTAGTTTTAGTTTTAATGATTGGGATCAATGTCTGGTTTGGTTATTTGTAACTATTTTTTTTTTTGTGAAGTATCAATTTGATCTGTTTGCAAATAATACATTTATTTTAAAATATTTTTAAATAAGTTTTATATTTTAAAATATTATCATATTTAATCAGTTTGAACATTGATCAGTGTCTGGTTTGGTTGTTAGTCGCTCCAGTTAATCACAGAGAAGTGGTGTAGACTTTGACACAGTTATGTAAAATCAGAATCGATTCGCTTAAATGCAAGACATTGTCAGTCATTCATCTGTCTGTCACATATTTGCTCACTGAAGCCAGAAACATCACAAACTCTTCAGCGCTGCACTGAACTGTGCTGCTATCAAACCTTTGACACGTTTTAGGACGCAGTGATGTCTGAAAGCATCTGTGTTCACACACTGGTGTTTTGAGTGTAAAGCATGTTAATTGTCATGCGCATGGTTCATGTCAAACATCTGAAGGAAAGTCTGTCCTCGGGGTTTGAGACGAGGCCTGTGTGAGCACGTCTCTAAAAAACACGCTCGGAGAAAATGATCAGTCCCAACACGCAAAATATGAGAGAAGAGGGACAAGAAAGAAGTGCTTCTCCACTTAAATATGTTCTTTTTAGCACTATTACATGCAATAAATGATCTAAACTCTAGTCTTTGTAAACTTGCATGCATAGTTTTGTTTTGTTTGTTTTTTCCCAATGTTAAGTCTGTATGATAAATAACTTAAACTGTGAGTCTTTGAGTTGATGAAAAGCTCATAATTCATAAAAAATAAAAATGAATAATTTTTAAGATAGAGACAATCAAAATTAAATAGTTACTAAAATTAATTAAATCATAAAAATGTAAAATTAAAAGAAATAATTAATTTGTGAATTAAAAAAAAATCAAAATCAAATTCTAATAATTAATTAAATCATTAAAATGCTAAATTAAAAACAAATTAATATTTAAAATAAAAAACATCAAAAATAAAATACTTGCTTGTACAATTAAAATAACGAACTCAAATGAAAACAATCAAGATAAAACACTTCATAAAAAAAGATGAAATATTTTGTTTACCTGGATATCATGTCACCATTAAGCCATGAGCCATTAATGTTTTGTTAAATTAATGAATTATTAACTTTATTAAATATTAATAAAAAAAATGAAAAATCCCTGATTTAATCAGTTTAGTCTTTGTAATTATCCATGTTTTTTTCCTCTAATGTTTGTCTGTACAATAAATGATCTAAACCAGGGCTTTCAAAACCACAGGTTTTGTAAGTTGAAGAAAATCAAATAATTAAATCATAAAATCGCAATTTAAATAAATTAATAATAAATAAATATTTAAAACAGTCAAAATAAAACACTAAGAAATAATTTATTATGTCATGTCATGTGACCATTAACCAACATCAGAGGACTGTAAACATGCAAATGTAGTGTAAATATACACGTTATGATTTTATGTTTGGATTTATTAATGCTCTTTGATGTCTTCTGTCCCGCCAGACTCTCGTACCCAATGCACTTTACTCAGTTTTGATTCTGGTGGACAGAGACGCAGCAGTGAAAGTGGAGCGAGACGTCTCAGTTCCTGTGAGTAAATGACTGTATGTCTGTCTGTCTCCGTTTGAGTCCGAGCGTGTTTCTGTGCAATGTTTCTCCTCCTCTCTTGTTCTTGTACAGTGTGAGGTCCTGACGTCTCTGAAAGCTCTGCAGAAGCACACATATTTATATACATACATATATATATATATATATGTGTGTGTGTGAGTGTGCATATTTATATAGTTTTTTAAATTAATTAATTTATTCATTAGGGGTTCAAGCACAAAGCAAATTTTATTATTATTTAGATTTTATGATATTATTATTGTTATTATTATTCTGCCCTAACACTGATTGGACAGACAAAAAAAAAAAAAACAACTTTTGCGAAGTAGTCCTAGTTTTTTCATCAATCAATAATTTTAGATCAATAATTAACCAAAAAAAAAGTTGAAATTTAGTATTTGGATGGCTATAATGATCATATATACCAAAATATACCAAATAAAAGTCTATAATTCCTAAAAAAAAAACTCGGAATTTCACAAAATAGGAAAGAACATGTGACGTATAGTCCTAAAGAAGCAGGCAAACTTTCATAAAGATGATTAGGTATCACTGTAACAGTTATAAAGCTCAAAAAGTTTGTATTTTTATGGTAAATTACTAGACATTTCTTTAAAATGGTCTATTTCATTTAGAGGCGTGCTAAATAATGCGTAGTATTTTTTTTAACCATGCTCTTGAAGGTCTTACAGCGCTTGAACCCTGATATTTATTTTATTCACAACTCAACAAAGCCCAGTTTGGGAAAAGCCCTTATATATATATATATATATATATATATATATGTGTGTGTGTGTGTACTATATATTTATATATAGTATATATATTTACATATTTATATGTTTCATATTAAATATAAATATATTACATATATTTCTTAAATACATGTATGTGTGTGTATATATATATATATATATATATATATATATAATTATTATTTAGATTTTATGATATTATTATTGTTATTATTATTCTGCCCTAACACTGATTGGACAGACAAAAAAAAAAAAAAAAACGACTTTTGCGAAGGAGTCCTAGTTTTTTCATCAATCAATAATTTTAGATCAATAATTAACCAAAAAAAAAGTTGAAATTTAGTATTTGGATGGCTATAATGATCATATATACCAAAATATACCAAATAAAAGTCTATAATTCCTAAAAAAAAACTCGGAATTTCACAAAATAGGAAAGAACATGTGACGTATAGTCCTAAAGAAGCAGGCAAACTTTCATAAAGATGATTAGGTATCACTGTAACAGTTATAAAGCTCAAAAAGTTTGTATTTTTATGGTAAATTACTAGACATTTCTTTAAAATGGTCTATTTCATTTAGAGGCGTGCTAAATAATGCGTAGTATTTTTTTTAACCATGCTCTTGAAGGTCTTACAGCGCTTGAACCCTGATATTTATTTTATTCACAACTCAACAAAGCCCAGTTTGGGAAAAGCCCTGAGCGACTTTAAAACGTTTGCATTCGTGAGGAAGAATATACACTTAAAATGCAAAAAAAAAAAGTGCTGACGTTTGTTTGTTTTTATCCACGGACAGAAAATCGAAGCGTTTGCCGCGAGCTGCAGCGCTGCCATCGCTTCCCTCCAGAGCTCCATCGAGACGCTGAACAACATCGGCAGCCTGGAGACGTCTGAGGTTATTCTGACAACTCAAACTGAGTCTCTGATCATTCTCTACAGCAGCGACATTGAAAATGATTTAAATGGCCTTGTTTACTGGCATTCCCTTTGCTAAGCTCCGCCTTCAGAATGTTTCTGACCAATCCAAGCTTAGCAACTGTTGCCTTCTGCTTTGTTACTTTGTAGGGTCACAACGTAACACTTTTTGACTTTCTCAGTTTGTGTAAATGCACATGGAGTTTTTATCCACATTAATTTCACACTTGTCTAGTACAAATATATGGCTTTGTTTCGTAATTATAGTGTATACGTTTTTCTTTATTTACCCCAGAAGAATTGAAGTGAAATGTGACAACATGCCCCGTAGGTGGGGTACATTGTAACATCTGAGGAGCAGTAACACGATCATGTGACAGCTTAAAATGTTATCTGATCTAATGAAAAAATATATACAAAAAAACTAACATATTTTGTCAATAAAATAAAATTATTAACTTTTTCAAATAAAATAATGGCGTTTTTTTAATAATTAAAAATCATGCATTTTTGGACTTTGACAATGAACACATTGCAACCATGCTTGTGACGGCCCTGATCACAAGACACAGCTATACAGAATAGTTCAAAACAATATGTGGGCAAATAGATGAAGAAAATCACAACACACACAGCTCTCACAGAACACGAGACACATAATCGAGCCAAAATGCTTTACATTTCTTAAAATAATAATTTCTGAACATGAAATATTTTTCACCTGTTCCTCGTGGTTTCTCATTAAAATGTATAAAAGTAATTAGTGTAAATGACACCTCGAATGTCGTAGAACAGCATAGTTCTAATAACGCAGTGTTACAAAGCTCCACATCTGCGCAACTAGAATTTAAAACCGGTTCGTGTCTTTTGCTAGTTATTGAAGCATTAAAGAACTGCTAAATAACAGATTAAAATAATAGCAGATGTGTCTCATTTTAAATGAATACTAAAAACTGAGATCAAAAATTTACTTCATTCAGAAATTTACTTTTGCTATGGTAAAATAAATGTTCAGTGATATCTTCAAAAGATTTTTGAATTTTGGCGCACTTTTTTTCTCTATATAGTGTTGATATGGCAACCAGTAAAAACCCCGTAATGTGTGTGTGTGTTTTTTTTTAAATGTAACGCAATGCAAGTTCAGTGTGAGGGGCGGAGCTTCACTCAGGCTGATTATTATTGATGGATATTGATGGATTATTATTGAATATTGATGGTCTGTGCTCCTGCAGGAGGTGTCAGAGGTCATCAGCCAGCAGAAGAGTCTCATGAAGAGCATTCTGGACGACACCAAACTCAACCGCCTGCGTCTGGAGGGCGGCACCTTTCTGGCCCGCATACGGAAAGAGGAGATGTGTGAAAACGAGAACTACAGGTACAGTACTGCCTTAATCAGAGGACTGACAGATGCTTCATGTAATATCAGTGGGATATTGGCCTGTCTGAATCAATTAGATGAGCCCTAATTATTTTTCCTTTCTTTAAAAAGCCTGGATAACACTGACTTTAGTTTTTACGCCCAGCCCTGTGTTATTAATTACATGCACACACTCCTGTCAATCACTGTCGGGATTAATCATGTCATGCACGTCATCCATCTGCTTTAATTAAACCTAAATGACACTTATTACACTTACTGCATAAATAGTTCTTTTCAGGCGAAAATATCCAAACACCCTGAAAACAAGACATTTACATTTAATCATTTAGCAGACGCTTTTATCCAAAGCGACTTACAAATGAGGACAATAAAAGCAGTCAAAACTAACAAAAGAGCAACAATATATAAGTGCAAATGACAAGTCTCGGTTAGCCTAACGCAGTACATGTAGCAAGGTGTATATATATATATATATATTATACACACACACATATACACACACACACACAAAGAAAAACAAGTAGATAGAATAGCAAAAATAGAAAGCTAGTATTTTAGAAGTGGTCCAAGTACTGAGCCCTGAGGCACCCCAGTAGCTAGATGTTGCGACTTGGACACCTCACCTCGAAAAAAGTGACGCTCCATCATGCAACCTTGAGAAAGTTAAAATTTTTGCTGCATGAATAAAATAAGAGGCCACAAAAAAAGTCATTTTTTACCAAATAATTTTTAAAAACACTGATGCAGTTTTGCTGTCCTGTAGTGTTTGACTGGAGCTGCTGTGTCGTATGTAGGGACGCTGTGGATCTGGTCGGTGCGCTGTATAACCAGCTGGATGAAGAGGTTCATAAACTGGTCATTCTGTCAAATAAATCCCTGCAGCAGCTGGAGAAGCTCCTGAAGCTGCGTGTCTTACAGGAGAGACACCAGGAGGTCAGAGATGCCATCTTTCCCAATCATTTTCTCTATAGGCATTTTAAAGCTCTCAGTGTGGAAAATAAGGCATTGTGATTATGCAATCAAATCACTCAGGGCTTTGTGTTTTTAGATCTCAGTTTTTGATCAGAAAACACAACCACACACAACGCTACAACATCCCATGTTAACTATTAATAGGGTAGCATGCAGAGCTGGGTAGATTGCTTACAAATTGTAATCCGTTACTGATTCCAAGTTACATGACAAAAATTGTAGTTTGTAACGTAATCCATTACATTACACATTTTAGGTAATATAATAACAGACTACTTTTTGATTCGTTTTAGATTACTTTTGACCTATTTCGTTTTTCACATTGATTTAAATAGGATAATCTTGTACCATATTGATATAAAAATACAAAGTGTAAGAAAATAAATTCCATTTGTTGTTATCAACAACATGAAATGCATTAAACATTATATGTGACCCTGGACCACGAAACCAGTCATAAGGGTCTATTTTTTTTTTAATTGAGATTTATACATCATCTGAACGCTGAATAAATAAGTTTTCCATTGATGTATGGTTTGTTATGATAGGACAATATTTGGTCGAGATACAACTATTTGAAAATCTGGAATCTGAGGGTGCAAAAAAATCAAAATATTAAAATATTAATCATCTTTAAAGTTGTCCAAATGAAGTTCTTAGCAATGCATATTACTAATCAAAAATTAAGTTTTGATATATTTACAGACGGAAATTTATAAAATATCTTCATGGAACATGATCTTTACTTAATATCCTAATGATTTTTGGCATTAAAAAAAATCTATAATTTTGACCAATACAATGTATTGTTGGCTATTGCTACAAATATACCCCAGCGACTTAAGACTGCTTTTGTGCTCCAGGGTCACATTTTATGTCAAGGTTTCCCAAACTGGGTTTGTGAAGGAACTACAGGGGGTTTATGAGTTTAATGAAAAGCTGATAATTAATTATAAATCATAAAAATGGTAAATTAAAACAAATCATTTTAAAATGAATGAAAATAAAACACTTACTGAAAAAATGAAATATTTGATTTGTTTACTTGCATGTCATGTGACCATAACCAGTGTCAGAGCACCATGAACATGCAAACGTTTACATGCATGCATTATTAACATTTGTATTTTAAAATCTCAGAGGTACTTCAAATAAAAATACAATAGGTGAAAGAGGATCAGATGACAAAAAAGTTGGTGAATTTGTGCATTTTATTTGTGCAACTTCCAAAGTTGGTAAAAAAAAACTGACTGAGTGATAATTCAAATAGAAATGAATTAATGTGTTCATCAGTAGTGTTGATGCAGTGTTAAAACACGTCTTAAAACTGAAGTGATTTTTGTAAATCCAGTGTCAAATGCTGTGTAGCCTGTGTATTTTCTGTTTAATTACTTTGTGTGGCTGTCCACAAAACTGGAAGACTTTCTGAGTGTATATAAGCGGTAGGCTTTTTAGAAAGGAACATTTAAAACATGAAAAAGAGGAATTAGGGAGAATCAATAAATTATGAATAAATTATTGCTGTTGTGTGAATAATATGTAATCCATAAAAAAGTAACTGTAGTCTGATTACGAGTATTTTAAAATTTAATTGGTAACACTTTATTTTAGGGTCTCTTAACTAGTTGCTTATTAGCATATTACTAGAATATTTTGCACATGACCTTATTCTACATCCCTAATCCTACCAAATACCTAAACCTAACAACTACCTTACTAACTATTAATAAGCAGCAAATTAGGAATTTATTGAGGGAAAAGTCGTAGTTAATAGTGAATAAGTGTTCCCTATTCTAAAGTGTTTCCATTTAATTTAATCAAATTACAAGTACTTAATTTTTGGAATCTGATTACGTAATCCAGATTAGATGTAATCAGTTACTAACGTCAAACTCATAACTTTTATTAACAAAACGAATAAAAATACACCATATATGCCTAATAAAATAACAAATTACTTAGGCTACACAAAGTTTAAATAGGTATATAAAACTGAAAATCAGCAAACACTGTGGAACCAAATAAATAAGAAACATATAACGTTTATTAGCAAAACGAATAAGAAAGCTTGGAGGCACTGCATATACACCTTGATGTAAAATAAAATAAATAAAATACACAAAGTTTAAATAAAGTAATCAGCAAACACTATGGAATCAAATCAAAAAAACTTGCACTGTCGTTCGTGCACGGTTCGGCACGCTGCATTGAGCATTTAGTTTTTAAAAGTGTCTGTCCTCTAACTGAACTAGGCTAAATGATTTGTTACTAAATTTGTTGCCGCGGTAGGCAAATGACGTAACCGGTGTTACGGCTTAACACCGGTATAACCGAAAACACCGTCTATCGCAGCAAGCCTGTTACTACCCAGCTCTGGTAGCATGCTAGAATATATTATCATGTGTTCATACTGTATGTTATCATTAAAAATCAGCTTGTCTGTGGAGTAAATGAATGATTTTTTTTTTCAGAATGATAATTGATTATTGGAGAGCCTGTGTGCTGATAATGTGTCTGTCCTCAGGTTAAGAGGTGGTTTTATGTGGAGAGTGAGAAGCATTTGGCTCCTCTGGACTCCTACAGTCCCTCTCTGAGCTGCATTCAGGACATGAGACAGAGTCTGGCCCAGTTCATGGAGGAGTCCACCGTAAGTGCTGCATGCTTTGAGAAATCACACGGAGATAAAAGAGAACTGGCATTTTACTGTCCCAGGATGCACTTGGGGAAATTAAATTAGTTCAAGAACAGGTTTCAGTCTCAGCAACAGCCAGTTTGGTCCGGGTGTGACGGTCTTGCCTGGGCGGTCTGCTTTCTGCACACTCCTACAGTCTCTCTCTGAGCTGCATTCAGGACATGAGACAGAGTCTGGCCCAGTTCATGGAGGAGTCCACCGTAAGTGCTGCATGCTTTGAGAAATCACACGGAGATAAAAGAGAACTGGCATTTTACTGTCCCAGGATGCACTTGGGGAAATTAAATTAGTTCAAGAACAGGTTTCAGTCTCAGCAACAGCCAGTTTGGTCCGGGCAAAGCTGAACCATTTTTACTAAAGTGACGGAAGACACAAATGTTGATAATTACAGTTTACAGGGAAAATATAAACACACACTGAATGACAGCAAAATAAATATGACAAACGTAAACATTACATTTTTATGTATTATATATAATATTATGTATAATATATAAACATAATACATATTTTATTTTATTTATTTCCTTTATTTCTTAATTTATTATTCCTTTATTTATTTATTTTTACACCAGGGTTATTATCATTAACTAAAACTAAAAACACACACACACACACACACACACACACACACACACACACTAGCAACATGCTAGTGAC